CGCCGCCCCCCCGGCAGCATGAGCCTGGGCGCGGGGGCCCAGCCGGGGCTCGCTCAGCAGCGCGGAGCCGGCGGACGCGCCGCGGGGCCGTGACGGGCAGTGCCCCGAGGGGAGCGCGGGCAGGACCCCCTTCCCCGGTCATTTCTCCGTCTGGACCCCGCCCCGGAGAGATATGCTCAGCCCAAACCGCCTGGAAGCGTCTCCTGGGATTGCCGTGGCCCCCGGGCGTGCGGAGTGCGGAGCCTTCCCTCGGACGGCGGGCGCGGCCCCCCGGCTTTGCCTTCCCCTCGTCCTGCTGCTGCTCGCCCTGACGCCCCGCGCCGACTCCTCGTGGTGGTGAGTGAGGCCCCGCGACGGCGCCGCCGCCCCGACGGGGCCCGGGCCGGGCGGGAGCTGCGCGGGGCGCGGCCGAGGGACCGGGATGGAGATGGGGATGAGAACGGGAACGGGGACAGCGGGGACGTGGATGGGGACGGGGAATACCGACTAGGGGACGGGGCAGCGCCCGACGTGCGGCCGCGGGAGCCGGCGGGACCGGCCGGGCTGTGCGGGCTCCCCGCGGCTCCACCTGCGCGGCCCCGGCCGGACCGGGCTCCCAGAGCCGAGCGGCGGAGGCGGAACCGCCCCGGGCCGGTACCGAGCCTTCCCCGCGCCCCGAAAATGCCGCCGGGGCTCCTTAGGGACGGGACTTGCCGCGGGGAGCTCCGGTTCTGGCGGGGAGCAGAAGCCCCTGCGCTGTGACACCGCTGACAGCCTTCCCTCCCTGGCCAGGAGCAGGACGAGCCCCCGGCGCGGTTTGGGCCGGGGAAGGGCAGCGGCTCGGGTCCCCGATCCACCGCCGGAGCTCCCGTCCCTACGGGCTGCCGTGCTGCCCGCGCAGTTATTTACTTTGCTCCTGGAGGCGAAGAAAGTTGATGTCCCCCTTCCTTTAGATTAGACGAGGCTTTGTAAGAGACAGAAATGACGCCATAACAAAAACCTTGTGGAAATTAGTCCCGTCCTGCCCCGGTTCGTGTAACAATGAAAATTCATCTATGCAGAATGACAGTAATTAGGAAAACAAGGATCGAGAAGTTTTCCAAGTGACCCTGTGCTGTTTCAGTAGTTCAGCAACACTGGCGAAAAAAAAATAGTTGGCTGCAGTAAAGTTCTCAGTGTCCCCCACCCTATAAAAGTCCTCTCTAATCTTGTGGAAAACAGCGTTTTCCATGCCAATCTCATCATCATTAACAGATCACGGTGGATGAGGCAAAACTTAATCAAATTCAACCCATCTGCCACTGAAAGAAAACGGTAGTTTCTGGGAATTCTCAGCTACTGTGGAGCGCTCTGTAAGGGGCCGGGAGCATTTAATAGTCGTGCAGATAGCACAAGTATTCGCGGTGTTTGAGAGCACGTCTGGGCGTGTGGCAGCCCCGGCCGGGCTGGCATCCCTGGAAGAGCGATTCCAGGGTGAGAAGGGCTGGTGGGAAAGCGGTGGGGCCAGGAGGGAGCGGGAGCTCAGGGCACAGGCTGCTCGGGCAGCTGGCGGCAACCAAGCACAAAAGCAACTTCTTCAAGAGAGCAGAAAATGGTTTGGGGGACAAATGGCTGTTCACAGCCATGCCCAGAGGAGCTTTCCCGAAGCCTGGTCAGCTGAGGGGAGCTGGAATCACTGGGAGAGAAAATGAGTCACTGCTGGGGAGTCTCAGGTTGATACAAGCACTGACCTGGCTTCCAGCTCTGCCCCAGCCCAGCAGGGCAGGTGAAGGCAGGATTGCTTCTGTGGGCAAGGTGAGGTTGCTGAAATGTGAAAGTCTGAGGAAGGAAGGAAGGAAGGGACAGTGCAGAAGTTGGAGTATTTCCATTATCGCAGAGGCTGGAGGAAGAGAGTTCGTTAGAGCTGAGCAGTGGGCGCTTGGATAACACGGCTGGGAAAAAAAGGAGGAGTGGAGCAGCCACAGCATCATCTGCCCAGAGATGGGCACTTCTGGTAGCACACATGGATGCTGCCTGAAGGGTGAAAATTCCTTCTCCAGGAGGAATGAAAACCGCCCATTTCCCTTGCTGCAGCCCGCTTCTCCCCGGCGCGGCTCCGCCGCGGTCTGCCCTCGTTCCGAGCGCCCGCGGCTTCCCAGCAAGCGGGAGGAAAACCAGCCACGTTTAAAGCCTCGCTAGCTGTGGCTTGTTTGGAGGAAGCTAGATTTAGCTCCCACAGCAGTTTGTGTTCTCAGCTTGCAGGCTGATCCCCGGCTGGCAGCCCAGGGGAGCTGTGCTTGTCCGGGGCTGGGCAGCCCCACGGCCCCGGGGCAGCCCTTGGACATTTTTGCCAAGCATGTTGGTCCCAAGGACCTGAAATACATGACTTTTAAAACAAAAACCAGTTAGAAATGGAATATATTAAACTCTTAAGAGTCACACTTTCAATTGAGCCTTCTCTTCTGGAAAGCAGAACATTCCTAAGAAAAGCCTAAATTGAACTGAGCGCTGTTGTGCTGGACGTGTCAGTCCTGATGAAATAGCGTGTTTAGATGAAATTGTGTTTTACTGAAAATGGTTTCAACCAGCTGTGGTTTGGGAAAAAAGTTATTCAGTGATTTGCATAGGTTTCCAAGTACATCTTTAGCACCACTGATATTACAGTAAATACATTTGGTGATGCATCATCCTTCCTTATTTTAATTATTATTGCCAAATTCTTCTAGGGATTCACACACAATAAACTTGGGGAACTAGAGGAAATGCTTCTCATTTTCGGAGTCA